GGGTGAGTTTAGCTAATGAATTGGTCTTTCTTTTGAGTTGTGGTATAAATAGGGGGCTTTAGGCCCCATTGCCTTTTTGTTGTTTAGTTCTTTTAATCCGTGTTCTCGCTAACCGAAGATGAATGGGGGGTGCAGAGGCGCAGGAAAGGGTGTGGTTGTTTAAGCATCCAAAAGAACTTGCTGTTCCAGAGGTGCTTGTACCCGATCTTGACGGCACTGGTAGTGAGGTGCACTTTCTTTTCTCTCTTTTACATGGCTTGTGGCATTGTAGTCTTTTCCTGCCTTTTACTTTTTTTTATGATGAATTAGTCACCTTAGCTTTCATAAGCAGCCCTTCTGGTGAACCGGTTGAGAAGTAAGTAGGCCTTGTTAGCTGCCCCCGCCAACTAGAGATCCTCAGAAGCGAACCGAGGAGGAGGCCATCTCAGTGATGATTTGATCTCCTTTTCTGACCTATGCTTGGATGTCATCATCTTACCTTGGGTACACGACCATTAGTTGCCTCTGTGTAGTCTGTACGTAACTCTTCATCACAGTGAGTGCTTTCCGTCTCTTACTTAGAACGGATTTATTGGCTTTCTCCCTCTACAAGAAAGCCTCGAGGAAGTGAACTGGAAAGACGGCCGGGAAAAAAGAGATTAGGATTGCAGCGAGAAAGACGATAAGTTTATAGCTATAAGTATATAGGTGGAACTAAAAAACATAACAGCGTGGCCATCAATCAAGGTCTTACTCTTACCCGTCGGATTAAAGCAAAAACTTGGGAGCTCTTGAGCCTTTCAAAGGACGTGGCTGGTGATCGTACAATGCAAGTTATTTAAGATTTACAGTCGGGGACAGGTAACCTTATCACTGGATTTTACTTTATGTTTAACTATATTAGGAGGGGCTTATCACCTTCAACCCCAAGGAAAATAACTATCTCTTTTCCTGGCCTGGAGCTGGCTGTAAAGTCAAGGTTTGAAAATGAACCAGCTATAAAAATGTCTATCCCGTAAACCCTCAAATATTTTTTGACAATTCTCCTGATGGCTTACTAAATGTAGCACAACTCCCAGAAAGTCCAACTTCCCTTGGGAGGAATGAATCTCTTCACCTGGCTGGCTAACTGGAGACAGCTTCTTATAAAACAAGCCGATTGAATCACTTATGCCCGTAATGGATAGAAATAGAATTGGCTAACTCCACTCGTGGCTACTTTAGATTTTAATTAAAGAAAACCAGTTTGGTTGTTCAAGTGAGCAGCTAGTTAACCACTCTTTAATAGCAGGAAATTTACTTAAAAAAGGGAAAAACTCATTAGTCAATCCTTACCTTGATATCCCTTTACCTATAGTAAAAAAGTCAATCCCGACCTTGTCTCCCTGACCTTCTAAGTAAGGGGGGACGACCTGTTAGCAAATCGCCTGGCATTGAGTAAATAACTTTAGTAAGGAACGGAACTCTTTTCTCCGATCTCAAAACATAAACATAAAGAGTACTATTTTAATCTTGGTGTTTGCTTGTTTTCAAGAATTGAATCATCAGCTGTGCTTTTCATGTCCACATTTAGCTGTAATGCACTCATCTTCATGATGCCTAGAGGGGGTTTGACTAGGAGAGCATCGAGAGGTTGAATCCATAGTAAATAAGATGGCATAGACATAGAATGGGGTTGATGGACAAATGCCACATAAGAAGCTTTTTTTTTACCCTTTTTGCCTTTCAAATCGAGTTTCTTGGCATAAGGACTACTTATACTTATATAGAATGAAAGTCTAATTCCATCCTAAGAAAATTAGCAATCCTTTCCAGGCCTACTCTTCTGACCCCTAAGATCGTTTAAACTCAGAATTTCACTATCTATAGAGGCCGTATGGATATAGACAGAGTCAGAGTCCTCTTCAAAGATTGATGAAAGTCTTTCAAGGGGGGTGCTAGCATTTCTCTTCTCTAAGTCCAACTCAAAGGAGCAAGCATCTTAGACTAATGCGGATCCGACCCTTTGAGGCACCTTTACTAGTTAAATTAAAAGACAGGGGCGGGTTAGGCTTGGTTTGGTGCGCTCTTCTCGGCTCTAGCTCGGCTCCATATCAATCACTGAATTCAATTTAAATTATTGTGCTTGCACCAACCAAATTCCCTTTTTGGATACACTCTACTCCAATAAATATCTTTCTCGGACGTGAGAGTGCGCGGAAACGGCTAATCGATTTATCTCGTAGAAAGGGCCCCCTGTCTATATTATTGCAGAAGCAACCAAGCAGGAATAGATATACGTGTAGGTACACATTTCTGTCTTCTTTTGTCGAGCTAGGTTCTGGGAAAGGCTTTAGCAAAGGTTTGAGCCAGGGTCGGCGGACAGGGGTAGCACTCGGTCCACTTGATTCGGGGCAGCCCCTTAGCTAGCCCATTTCATTCCTGCTTCAGTCCATCAATGCAGGAAGGCGGTAATTTAAGAAGAGAAGCAAGACTTTCTACGCAACTCTCTCCTCTATCTAAGTCAGAGGAAGTTTAATTAGGTAGTAGCTTCAGCGCTAAGAAGCTCCAATCATGCTACTTCAGCTATATGCTTAACACATTGAATTCGATGCATATTTCTGCTTAACGCCCTTCTTCTTGCTAAAGTGTAATATTAATAGGGGGGGACTTTCTTTGACAGCCATTCTGTGTAAGGGATTGGCCTGATTCATTTAGCATCCAAGAGGCGCTCGATTTCTTCTTTCACCTTTGCTGTGATCCCCTTCATATTTATGGCCGTGTTGGCCGCTAAGAAAGTTAAGGATTCTACAGCGAGCACTGGATCCCCTCTCCTCTGGCTGTGGGTCAATTAGGACACTCCATGTCGATGCATTACTGCCAGCTGAAGTCAACATTGTGATGGACGGCGGGTTTTCACTTTGGAGGTTAACTGTCCCAGTCAAACCCCTCTCTGGTTGGTTGAATGTGTTCACAAGCTTCTTGGCTTCTAGTATACCTACTCTCATGGAAGAAGGGCGTAGCTACGTCTCGCAATTCCCTCTCATCCGGATCCGGAGGAATGAAAAAGTCTGACGAACCTTATCTTGTATTGCTTCCGATTCCGAGGTCTGCCTTCCTTGATTGAGCCCTAAAACTGGCACCGGTGGTTGCATATATAAGAAAAGGGTAGATCTAATTTTCACTAAATCTTTTCTACGTTGATATACACATCATCGGAATCGGAAGGAAGTCAACGCAAAATAAGCGGCTTCATCCACATTGAGGGTCGGCTTGGTGAAAGGCGTGATGCTATCGTATATAAGGAATCGCCTAGCCAACGCTCTACTTACCAACTGCTGGACTACATATGCTGGAATATGTAAGACGATCGGACTACAGATTACGTGCTAAACGGATTAGGCTGAAAGGCAAGGATGATACGATTATCATCAAAGGTGGAAGGAGATTCTCACTTCTTTTGCGAAAGACCATTCCCTTAAATGAAAAGCAGCACATAAGCTCGCTCTACTACTTCGAATACGAGAAAGAGAATAGAAGACAAAGAGATTCATTACGGATTGGAATGCTAACGATTGATTCCCTTTTTTTTGGGCTCTTACACAGAAATGAAAGACTGAAAAGAGGAAGAGAAAGCTACTCTGACTCTGAAAGTAAGCAACAAACTAGAATCACTTCAATAAGTAATCAAATTACTTGCTTCGGAATCGGAAGGAGGTGCACGGGCTAAGGGAAAAGCCAATGCCCCGGATACGACCGGAATTTACTTGGACTACTTCCAAGGTTTAACATAACGACTTCGACTTCCAATCCTTAAAAAATAAAGAAGGGAATATCAGACTGCCTAGCCTACTTCAGCTACAATCAAAACAACCTTCACCCACAAAGAAAAGCACTTACTTACCAAGCCAGGAATAAATAAAATCTTGAATGCCAGCAGTAAAAAGGAAAGAAAGAGGACGGACTTCAAGGGAAGAGAGAAGCTAAAGAAGGTTTCTTGCTTCCCGATTGCGGGGCAGGAAGAAAGGAAGGGACTCAAAAGGCAAATAGTCACGAAAGATAAAGAGACAGGATAGAAAATCAATTCGAGGGGAATCCTGGCTACATCTCTGACTTTAAAGAGCCTGACCTCTATTACCACTACTCTTTTAGCACCAAGTCAAGACCAGGCATCAGAAAGAGCAGGAGGAGAGCAGCAAAAGAGAAGGAAAGTAACTTTTTAATCATACCATAATCCAAAGATAGATAGGAATGAAAAGCCCTAGCACTTAGAGAGGTTGAGAACGAATCACTTTCTAGAATAGAAAAAAAAGAACCCCGGCAGCTACACTCACTCAGCAAGGCTCTATCTTCTCTTCTTTCTTTGGTCATCTGTCCGCTTGTTGGAAAGGCTCTTTCTCTTTGCTGTCTCAATCGAGCCCTTCCCTTTTTAGTTAGGGTCAGATCAATAGAGAAGTCAGGCACGAAGAGGCTTATTGAAGCCTCAACCTTCTTTCTACTCTTAAATCAGACGGCTCGGCCGGTCTACTTCCTGCTTGAAGTCAAGTGAAGATGTGGCATCAGAGTCCTCCTTCCTACCTATAGTGTGCGTGTGTGGGTCTATCTTCTACTAGTGATTAACGTGCAAAACAAAAGCTTATTCGATTCGAGCTTGCTTGTAAGCCCTTCGTCAGTCAGATTCATGTCCACATCTCTTCCTCCGAGATCCCCTAATGGAACACTTACCTACTCTCATGCACTGCTTATTAACCTTCCTGGGATCACAGCTTTTTTTGCAAACACTGGGTATGAATGAAAAAGCGGCTAGTCTTGCTAACTCAATTGCTATTTGCAGTTCCTTGCCTTACTAATATATTCATTCTTGCGCATTGTCTTAGAGAAGCAGGCAATCCACTGCCCAAGGGCGGATCATTGCTTGTTAGCTCGGCAAGGTCAACGGCTAGTAGCCCTCTGTTTTCTGAGATTGACATGCTGCTTACAAAGACTGGGAAAGAACTCGTGGGAATAGACCTATTTTATTTATTAGGGCTTTCTTTTTTCTCTGAAACTGCTCTAGTGTTGTTGTAGCTCCAGCTAAAGCTGTACATGATTGGGAAGATGCTAAGGCGCTTCTCCTCGCCTATGTATGAAAGAGATGATTTATCGGCCATAGTGAGAAATGAGTGCAATCTTGACCTCCTCCATTTGGAATCAGATGAATCGAACTGAGGAATGTAAGCCAACCGCCGGTCCTAATGTAATGGGATTATTAAAACTAATCTTATTAGTGGCTGCGGAAAGGAGTCGTGCATAGCCGTCTACTTGTATGCGAAGGCTGTTAAGCGGTTGTATAGGAAGTCGGGGGGTTTGTTCCTTGCTTTGTATCTGAAGCAATGTGCAAGCTCTCTTCAGATTGCCTATGGAGGTGATCGGCGACCTCACGATCGCTTACCAGTTCCGGTCTCTTTGACCCGGTCTGCTTTCCCAAACCTCGTATTATCCCTTCTTTTATCCGTCGTCATATGTATAAGAAGGATGATAAGGCAGATATGCTAGTAAAGATTTGGTTGTCCCTCTTTAATTTATCTAAGATTATTAGCTAAACGAATGGATTTCTCAACCTTTGCTTCCATTGTCTCGCCTTGGAAGGATCCAGAAAAGGTGGTCCAAGCCGTCAACCGGGTGGCAGAAACGCTGCCCCAGTTGGTGGGGAGGTACCTACCTTGGGTTTCAAAGATCCCCCTTGATGAAGGGGTTACGTGGGAGCCAACCTGGAAGGCTATACCTAATTCTCCTTACCTCTCCCAACAATTGAGATTTCCGACTATCGAATCAGAGCTCTAATGTATCTACGCTAGATCTTGATAATAGCAGTCTTATGGGAGTCGCTCTTCTCTAAGACCATATCAGGGATATAATATTGTCCTATATTTCCAGCTAAAGGAAATAGAGAGTCTAAGCCCTTGTCCCTTTCTCCCCCTGCTTGCCTAACCTAATAAGCCTAAAAAGGCAGGGGACTTAGCTACTAGTCCGAAAGCCAGAAGCCGAAGGAAAATGAGACTAGCTAAGACTAGGGAAAGAGCGGCTAGCTAACTAGCTGATAGAGATGGCAGAGCTCCTTTTTCACTAAGAGCTGCAAAGGCGAATACCACTACCTTAGCTCCCTCCTTTTTGTTGCTGATAGAGCGCCATAAGTCGGATGCAGGGGGCCTAACCTAATAAGATCGGCAGAGGGGAGATGGTTGATAGCTTAGGTTTAGCAAGAAAATTGGGGATGGGGAGCTCCTTTCATATTGTATCAGAATGACAAGGCAAAAGATATGGGCTGAGTCTAGCTTGGGACGAGGCTTAGAGAAAGGTAGTTTGCGAGACAGATGGCCAGGCAGTTCTTAAGATCAGCAACTCGGCGGATAGAGAGCTTGAGCCCAATGGACTTCTTATTGATGAATCTCGCGACCTCTTAGCTAGAGACTGGGAGAGAGATTTTCGACATAGCTAGCTAGAGAGAGGGGAATTTATGCGTAGATGGACTTGCCAAGCTAGGGCTTCATATCAACTCGGTACAGTCTTCAGAGATCCGCCAGAGTTCATTACTCTTTTCAGATCTAGTAGGTCTTGCCCTCCCACCTAGGCGGTCTAGTCCTTTTTTTTTCAGTTAAGGCGGTTTTCTAAGTGATTGATATAGTAAGCTTGCTTGCAAGCAAGATAAGTAAGGTTCTGCAAGAAAATAAGTCCTTTTTTGAATTGAATCATGGCCCTTTCCCTTGCAGATGTGTCCTTTCAAGCCGGATTTTTTATTTACTAGCTTAGCTATCCTAGTATAATAAAGAGAAGGGGTAGACTGACTTATTTTATTGACATAAGCTCAGGAAAGGAAGGAGGTTTGAAGAGCGAAGTACTATCGTAAATAAAAAAAAAAGAGCTAGAAAAGCTCCTTATCCTTATAGGCTAAGTAGTTCCGTGAAAGCCTGCAGAGTCAAAGGCCTCTATTGCTTATAGGGACTCAGTTCCAAAACAAAACAGGACCCCTTCTTTGGCCGATGAATCGATGTACCGATCTTCTCCTTAGGCTTTAAAATGGTAAATGAAAGAAGGCTGGCTTGTCGGCTAAGAAAGCTTACCTTAGATTTGAACTATCCTTTCTTCCAATTGAAAAGGTACTAGCGAGACTGACTTAGACAACTAGCCTAGACTAGCCCTATAGAATAGAAGGGGAACTAGGTTAGGTCTGGTTTGTTTATCCTTGTCTTCTACTTTCTAGAATCTGAAGGAGGTGCCAGTCTTTGAGGTCTAGGAAAAACCGATGCCATTGAATGGCTTGGTCGATCATCGAGTTAGCTCTCCTGTGTTTTAAGCAAAGAAAGATTTTCCAATCTCTTAGGAATCGATCTAGCTGCTTATCCGGTCCTTTAGTAAGGACATCGCCCGAAAGTTCAAAAACTTTCCTTCTGAGATGCCTGTTCTCAGGTTTGAGGGAAAGGGTGCTAGGCTAGAGAGGAGTCGCGTCCTTCTTTCTCGCGGAGAACTTTTCACGACTTCTCTATCTAATGAATCACTGATTTCGGAGTCTTTTTTGTTTTGTTGCCTAGGGCAGCTATTCTGCCTACAGACCCTACTTTTATAAATCATACAGGATAGGGGAAAACTTCACTTCCTTCCTTGCCGTCAACCGACCTATAGTCGCTGAGATAGTATTGGTTCTATTCATCTGACCGTACTTCCATCCGGTGTTAAAGCTGCGGAGCTCGAGGGATGTCTTTAAAAAGGTCAAGTTTTTTTCTTTTTTTAGACGCGGTCGAAAGAATACCTGAGAGAAGGATGGGCACTTCTCATAGTAGGCGTAGGCCCGTCGCCCTAAAACTCATACCTGTGATTAAGAATAATAATTTAATGAGTGTCCCCGCCCTTCTTCCCGTACAGAGTCTGTCAAACTCAGCTGTCTTAAACAACATTGGCGCGGTACTCTGATATGAGTAGATCAGATCAATCGACTGTTCCGGCTAATCACGTCACGAATCGAAGGAGAATGGGAGAAAGCTTTTAGTTCGCCTTCATTCCATAGCTACTTAGTACCTCGGATCCCTTCTCCTTCCGATTCCGATTTGAGAACTACCACTCAAGACTGTTGGATCACTCATCAATGTCATCAGCTGAAAATGATGGCTTTGGGGAAGCCGATGCTAACTTGGCTGACACTGACACCGAGAGGAAAAGGCTTCTTGATGGCATTCCCGGCCTACGAGGTTCTGAACTAAACTCTGGGAATTGATAGATAGCAATAAGTTCCGCCGTCACACTATCTGGTTCAGGAAGTTATCTAGCTTGATTTGAGCTCATTGGCTCACCCCTTTATCGATGGGCAATAAAAGACAACTGTGAGGCTGCAGAGGGGAAGAAAGGATAAATTGAGAATAGAAGCTTTACGTCACCGGTTCGTTAGTAAACTGGGACACGTTTAGCATGGGTAAAGGTCGGTGAGAAAGTGATGATTTTAGGGCTGAATTCCACCAAGCACAACTCCGGCAGGGGAAGCTGTAGCTTATGGCTTTGGTCTTCTTAATTAAGTAAGTTTCTTTCTTCTTTCTTCCGTCTAGGGAAAGCCAGCCCTTTTCCACTATACGAAAGGAACGAAAGCTTAAGAAGAGCTGCTGTGGTAAGGAATTGGATTGAGAAGCTCCGCCCAGTAGTGCTCTACAGTAGTGCCTTGCGGGGTCGGAGATCATAAAAAAAGAAAGACTCCAATGCTTTTCTGGTCTTTAATGAATTGTAGATAGGAAACCTAAATGCCACAGCTGACTCATAAGAAAGTAATGGGATAAACCTCGTCAACGAGTTGCTCGTGAAAAGGCAAGAGGCCTGTTTTCCGGGGAGTTCCTGCATAAGCTTGCTGCTATATCCTGACACAGCACATTTAAGTAAAGCGCAGTGAACAAGAAACCAGATTTCCGGACAAGCCTGATCACCTCCTTAGCAAACAAGTGCGCTCCGACACAGAGCTCTTTGTTGAGACCATCGGTCACTACCAAGATGACTCGATTAAGAACCATCTTAAGTAGTGGAAGACCTTCCAAGATCTTCTTCCACTTAATGGCCTTAAGTCGGAACAACTTGTCAAAGAGGGTAAGGTTCATTTCAATAATTTATGTAACCTTCCTGGTCCTGGTTGGGAGCTGTCTCCACAGGACACGACCAAGTGAGCTAACAGGGGGTTTAGAGCTCCTCTTTTCAAGGAGACTCATCCACACCTGCGCCCACTGACCGCCGCGCGTGGCTTCCGCTTCCGGGTCACCTAACGCTACACCTCACTTGCTCTGTCCAAACCTGAAGCCGTCTAACCTAAGGTCACTATTCGGAGAATAGGTTGTAAGACCGGATATTCCGTATTAGAATGAAGGCTGTAGGCGCGCTGTGCTAATAGAAGAAGAGGATCTTGCTCGCTTTTCTCTAAAGGGCTAGTCCTGGTTCTGTTAAGGGCCTAGTTCTGGACTTGCTCGACCAAGTGTTAAAGGTTGGAAGTAGATTCTAGTGTGATGGAGTTGGCGCTCAATGGAGCTCTTTCTCGCCCTCTCTATAAGAGAGATGGGATCACCTAAGTCTCGTTATGGATTTATGGCTAAAGGAGCGTCTACCCTTCTTTCTATGCTCATTTGGTAGAAGAAGTCAGAATAGAATAATTTAAGGGCTCGTTCTTCCTGGCTTCCAGGCTCCTGCCTTTCCACGAGCAAGTTGACTTAGTCTAGTCGACCAGCAGTAGAGGAAGGGAAGGCTTGACACAACGAATGGGGTAGTTTACTAAGTCAAGAGGTGACTAGCGCTGTTAGCAAGTGAATCAGAAGCAGTAGCAATAGGGGACGACCAAGGGCGCGCTTTAACTCAAGGGTACACTTTTATCCTTCCAGGATTTGCAGGAGTTTCCTTTCGAAGGCCTTTTAAGAACCTACCCTTGATCCACTGGATATGAATCACACAACTAAGCCTCTGTTCAATTTATATCAAAATAAAGATGGATTCAGTTAAATAATAATATGCTAGAGATCACTTTTCCTCTCTTCACTCCTTGTTGGATACTCTCAGTGGAAAGCAGTCCAACTCCTCTGGCTTCTCCAGCCAAGATAGGGAGTCTGGAACCAGCAAGCACTTTAGAGAGGAAATTTTATTTAGAAGCCCTATCTTGTCCCTGGAGTCCTCCCGCTACACCCATTTCACTAGAACCTTTTAAAGGAGAATCTCCACAGACTAGGGTTCTTACCTCTTTGAACAGCTAATGTGCCTGACTATGCCCACACCGGTTCAAATACCATTCTTTTTCACTTTATCCTACCCCGCTCACTGCCCCTCAGGCTTAAAAAAACGCCTTTTCGTTGTCACCACTAGATCGATATGGCTAGTTTTCTATCGCTATTTCTAGCTTGAATTAAGGCAAGGCTTCGAAGCCCCTCTCTTCTCTCTGTAACTAGAGAGGTAGGCAAACCTGAGTTTAGAGCCACCTCGATTCGGGATGTCGGAACACCAACCGAATCCTAAACTGACTTCGGAACAGGTTCGAGAGCTTAGATCGAAACCCTTTCCTATCTAGTGTCAGCTGATCCTTCAGCGTCTGCACCAACAAAATCGGAAGCTTAATTCGAAAGACGAGAGTAGGCTCGAGGGGGATCAAAAGACTGATTGATTCTCGGTCCCCTAAAATTATAAAGCTGGTTAGACTGCTATGTATGCCTATGGAAAGAAAAGTCACGAAAAGCGATCCATATGATCATAATAAAGAAAGGCTTGCCTATACGTCTTTTAAAACAAGAATGTTGCTGGCTCAGGATCCCAAGCGCAAAAGCTTTCTCTCTCCCAATCAACGATGATCTCAGTAGCGCGAACTATAGTAACAAGGCTCTCGCCAACCTAGTGGAGTAAGTGGAGGACGTTGATAGACGATTTGGTCTACTACCTCGGCTTGATCTATTGGGAATGGAATTCTTTTTTCGTCTTTCACGGATTAGCCTTTCGAGTCCCTCCTATCGTAAGCAAGTCTTGAAGGTCGACCGATAACGAGAGGAGATTGATCAAGAGAGTTGCAAAGAAATGATGAACTAAAGTAAAGGAGCCAAAGAGCAGTAGCGCGCCGATTCCGAACAGGCGACCCTATACCGAAGTCTCCACCTCGCCTATGGATTGAACCTCTTCTCTTTGGCTTACGATGGTATGAGTGAGTGTAGTGGTGCGAGCATCACTCTTAAATGGAATATTCTCAAAATAATGAAGCTAGAGAATTGCGTAGATAGTGGTGAACTCTTCTTCTAGCAGCCCTTTCTCCTCTACCGAAGGAAGGAACTCGGCTTGGAAGCAAGTCGGTCAATCTCGTAAGTAGACTTTCCTTGACCTGTACAGCTAGTAGGCGGATAAATTCACTCGTTAAATCAAAAAAGAGCGTAATATCGAGGGAAGGACCAGTCCCCGACTAACTAATAAATAGGGATTGAGGCAAGGGAAGTTGCTCTTACGAACCCTGTAGTCTAAAACGAAGAGATTCTTTCTTTATGCTGTTACCTGAAGTTCAAGGATGAAAGGGGAAGCGAAAACAGGCCTGTGTTCAGCATATAGCTAGCCTTCTTCTCTTATCTAATTCTTGCTCCTTCCCCTGTCTACTATTCGTGGAGCTGATCCGTCTCAATCAAACTATCTAAATTAATTAGGAAATTCTTTTGAAACCAATTCACAAAAAGTGGGATAAGATGGCCTGCGTCCTAATACAAAATAGTAGAGGTTTCCTAGGTTCGACACAAGCAAATCTAAAAGACGTATAGGAATGTCCATCAATAAACCTTATACGCTTGCTTTACGCGAGCAATGAGGATGCGCCTTACTAAGGCTTTAGGCTTGAGCTCTTGGAGTTGCTTGTTGGGAGTCTGCTCTTTCCCATGCTTGTCTTTGTTAGCGATCGAACCATCTCGAAAGCACTAGGACTAGCTCGGTCTCAATCTCCTCGTTATTTGAAGCAAAGGAAAGCTATTCAATTGAAGCGAGGTATCCCGCCCCGGCTTTATCCCTTTCTCCTTTTGTTGCTGGGAGGCTACTTATGAGCGGAAGGGCCCATGTGCCGCAACACAGCGCTAAAAGCCTTTCGACTCAACCCCCGAGGCTTACCTAATGAGTTTACCTTCTTTGTCCCAACCTTTCTTCTTCAAAGATTGTTCCATTGGTAGATTCCGTTGAAGAAAGAAAGATCTTTTGGGAAAATTTAGAATAATAGATTTCCGCTCACCTCGTGTACCTATCTATTCCTCTTCCTCGAGCCGAGTAAGGTCTTGAAGAGCCTAGGCTAATCCTCTCATTCCGATTCCGGCGTTGACTCTCTCTTTCCTGGTCTTCCTATCTGAGATCCCGCTCGTTCCCGTCCTTCGCTTCAGGGCCTGTCCCTCGAGTACTCAATATCCGCTTACTTCACTGCCTTCCTGCTTCGAGAAGACCCCTTCTTCCTCTTACTAAGCTTTTTTTTTTCCCTAAGGTAAGGAAAGAGGCCCCCCAGCTGATTCGTACCCTATTCCTAAACTACCCAAAGAATTAAAATATTTTAGGGATTCTATCGCATCAAAAGTCTCGTATCGACTGACCTTGTATTCCTTTATAATAGGTTTTGGTTAGAAGAGCTCCGGTGCTTTAGTTGCTTTGCCAGTCATAATATTGACTGCTTGACTCAATAGGAGTTCCAAGGTAGCAGCAAACAATGCCCGCACACGCATTTCGATACTTTAACGCTGGGGGTTACCTTCTGGAACTTCTTTCTCGTGGATCTATGCTTTCGAAAGTCTCATCCAAGGGCGAACACAGATAAGTTGAATCAAAGGGGAACGCTTTAGTATTCGATAACAGGGCTTTCGTATTCAATAGTTGGAGTTTCCCCTATATAAATAATTTTGAGTTGCAACAATCTATTCGAAGTTTAGGGTAGTAAGGGTAAGGTACAGAACCAGACCCAGAATCAGATACTTTTCTTGGAGATTTTTCCTCATGGTAGTAAGCCGCAGTACCTTCTTGTACTAACCGCACTTAGAGCATTACTAACCCAAGGAACCAGATAACTTAGGCTTGTTCACCCGTACCAACCTAGCTTGACTTTATGTCGGACCGAAGCGGAGGACAGTGTAATTGTGTATGAGAGACTACCGAAAGGTATGAGATTACTATAAACCCTCGGATAGTCTTTTCTCTCGTATCCTTCCTTCCCCGATCCGCTGGTCTGGTCTTGTTAGCGCTTGTCTCTGATAAGGGGGTCTTTGACGGCGGGTAGCCGTCCTTTATTGTTAGATCGAGCACCTACCAACGGGCGTACAAGCCTTGAACATCCTTATGTGGAAGGACATGCCATTTGTTCACATCCAGAAGTTCGTAGGGGATCTAATGCGGAACCTTGAGGGATTCCTCCCTGTAAGCTCAAGCGGGAGCTCGTTCACTTCTCCTCGCCAGCTATCGCCCTCGACCCATGCTTCTTGGTCAATGATCGAGTCTGTAATGTAAATAGGTCCTCAGGGTTCCAAGAAGGGACGGGGAAGCACGATCTGTGAAGCGCTGAGAGTTCCGGTTCCGATTCCGGGGAAAACTCCTGTAGTTCTGGGCTTAGCCTTTTACTTTTAGCTTGGAACTAGTCTTAGCATAGTATGACAGAACGTAGTCTCAAGTTGACTCAGCGGTGATTGCTAAGTCTTTAAGGGGATCCATTATATCAGGTAGAAAAAGGTAAGTTTAAAAAGGAACTTAAGAGGTCAATCTTTCATCTTGTTATTACCGTAAAAGGTAAAAGTAAGAAATTCAGATTTACGCTTACAGCCAACTCTTAACTCCTTGTAACCGTATAAGAATAATAATATTACTTACAGCTACTTATTCGTCAGAGATTAATACGGAAGCATGCCCTTCGTTGATAAGCAATTGGGCTCTCCAATACATTGATCGAGTTAGAGCCCCATACAGGAAAACCTCCTTACTCGGTTATTGGCTACCGTTCTCCCCTCTCAAAGCCCTAGTTCATATGGGCATAGGCTCTATATCTCCCTGACGTGATTCATAAAAGAGTTGAATAAAGAAGTAAAAATATGATATGTTATTAAGGGAGTTGGAACCAAGGAATCCGATCGGCATTGACTCACTCTTCGTACTGGGGAGAAGGAAAGAAAGAAAGGCAAGGGCATGCTCCATAGACCCACTACTAGATAAGGATATTCCAACTTCGTGTATCAAACAATCAAGCGCTTGTCTTCCGTTCCGGGGTAAGGCGACTAGAAGAGTAAAGACCTGTTAACAACAGGAGATAACAAGGGAAGAGCTAAAGTTAGGAATCAGGGATAGGAGAATGTTCAAAGCGAGACGATAAGACAGTCATCTCACACGCTAGGCCTCCTGATCTTCTCTTTATTTATAAAAAGATCATAACAAGATCAAGGCTATGATGAGTTGCAGCTGTGTCAGGTCAGAAAGAACGAATTGAACTCAACTATAGGCCTACTCTATAGTTGGCATACGAGACCTAACTAACTGGATTGCTAGCAGTGATCATATCCCCAGGCTGTTATTCAATTTATTTATTGGCAGATCCAACTTTTTAAATATATATAAAGGCTCTACTGCTAACCGTGATTCTCGTCCGACTCTGAGCGGTGAGTGGGGTAGGCGGAACGTTGTGCGGTAGCAGCCTGCCAGGCATAAAATTGATAAGAAACTTGGCTTTTTGTTGCCAAGAGATAGCAATCTAAGACAAGGGCAGTGGGGAAGGTAGATAGCGAGCGAGTGGGTCAAGATGCGGGAGGACTTCACTGGCAAAGAGTGAGTTGCCAGGGTAGGAGAATGAGTTTCCAAAGAATATGAAGGGGGATCATTGAAACAAGCTTTATAGCTTGTGTACAACCTTTGTAACTTCATGGTATACTCATGGATTTGCCAGTTCCTATTTTGAAGGATGCAATTTATTAACCGTTTTAACTCCGTTTAGCACATTCTTTGTTGCTACTAGGGGGTCCTGAAGTCAAAGGAGATTTGACCCCTTGGTGTCAATTAGGTGGTCTGTGGACTTTTCTTTCTCCCCATGGCGCTTTCGGACTAATAGGTTTCATCTTATGTCAATTCTAACTTGCTTGATCTGCTCAATTGGCGACCTTAGAATGTAATCGAAAGAGTGAACATTGCTCTTTTTCTTTCTGTATTCTTGATTTATCCACTAGGTAAATCTGGTTGGTTCTTTGCACAAACAACTTTTTGATTCTTTTATATAAGTTGCTTTTGAGGCTTCTTCATTCACAAGTGAAGAATTCAACTACTGGTGGTCCGGCTACGTAGCCAAGGCCTTTTTCGCTGACATTTTTTTTTGTTTTTCCTTTGCCAAAGCTGAGTGAGAAAAAATAATCTAGCCAGCACCCAAGAAAAAGGTTTCAGAGAAAAGGAAGGCTGATTCTGATTCTATTCAGCCACAAAGCGAAGGAGCCTCAAAGAAAGTTAAGAGTAAGTTTACTTACCGGGTTGGAACTGCTTCTTTAAAAGCTTGAATATCTAACTCGCCTTGTACTCTTAGGGGATTTACCCATGAAAACAAACGTCTGGAGTGAAGGGATCTGTGGAATCTTCGAAGGGAGCGGCACCTCCGAAGCAAAGAGTCAATTTGTTTTCAACATGAATTCAAAACATTATTGTTGTGTCACTTGTTGTCTAACAAATTCTTTTATCTTTTTGCAGCAATCTCCTTAAGATAGAAGGGCAAAAGACTAAATTTGCAAAAGGATCGGCTTCGGAGATTCCATTCCAGATGAAGAGGAATCATAAGCAGAGCAATAAATTAGTGAGGCAACTGCCATGGAGACGGAAAAAAAGGAGCGAGAATCACCAAATGACTCAACTTTAGCCTCGGAGGAGTCCAGCGAAGAGGAAACGGAAACGGCTGAACTGAAGGGAAAACAAAGTCTGGGTGGCCCTAGAAAAAACGACGATTCAGAGAGCCCGTCTTCCCCTGAGCCAGCAATGCCTGGTAAACATGTAGAAAAGACAGTTGAGAAGGCGGTATCCTTTGGCTCCAATATTCCGGCTCCGTTAGCTTCTGCTTCTGTGGCTCCCTCTTCAGGATCCCCCGGTGAAGGTACCCAAGCTTCTCACACGGTGACTCCGATGTCTCCCTTGAAACCAAGCAGTTCTGCTAAGGGAATGTCCCTTATCCTTAATTTAATCTTGCCTGAATTTGCCAGTATTCTTACGTATACGAACCTTCTTCCTCAGTTGCCCCCAATCAGTTCGGTCTCTACTTCGAGTGGCTCCTCGCGCCTTTTTGAGTTCCGTCGTGCATTGCTCGGTTCTCTTAAAAGCCTACTCGGTGCTCTGCCAATGAGGGTTCCCGGTCTCAGAGCCTAAGTACTGAAATTGCCCCCACATCAAGTTTAAGGCTTTGACAAGAGGTGATTCTCAAAGCACTCCGGGATCCGCAGACTTTTCTAGATCAAAGTCTTGTGGCAGTTAGCCAGAACTTGGATGCTTTGAAGGATCCTCTCCAGATCGTAAGGAATCTATCTGAAGAAAGTGGAATTTCCACTGAGGGGAAGGTGGGGTGGATTCATCCTCCAAGCTTGAAGAGGAAATTAATATGACAGTGGGGCAAGTACTCAGTGCTACTAAGAGTCAGAATGAAATTGACTCCAAAATCCAGACCTTCATTCAGCAATCGACCAAAGCCCGTGAGTCCGTGGCAGTGTGCGAGAAAATAGAGAACGATTTAGACTCAATGGAGGCCGAGGCTGAAAATAAATCTAAAGGAAAGGATCAGATTCCGAGGCTCCAGGAGCTGTTGGCCGCCGTAGAGAAGAGGCGGAGTGATCTTACTCGGGATTATGATTCTTTGATGACCGAGTTAGAGCCACTCCACGCCAAACTTCAGAGTCTTAAAGATTCCAACTTGGAGGAGCAGAAGGCCAGGGTTGAAGAGTCTGAACAGGCTGCAATCAGAGCCTGGGAGGACATTAAGAAAGCAGTTGCCGAAATCTTCTGGAAGGTTTGAATGAGCTTGATTAGGCCCGTTTTCACGGCCGTTAGCCTTTCCGTGCTTGTTGGATGGATTGTAAATATTTTGGCCTGCTATGATTCGGAATCGGAAGCGGCCTGGTACATTTTTTTTATGTTTGGCCCAGCCCATAAGGGCCATGTGGACGTATTTAAATTTAGATGACTTCCCCTTTGTTCTATTACCATAGATGTCTCTATATCTTATTTTGTCTCGTATGACTCCCACATAGAAGGATAGTAAGATTTTCAAAATTTCCCATTTATGGACCGAATGTGGGACTTACCGTCCATATCCATCAAATGATAGGCTCCGTTGGGCAGTCAAGTTTGGATCACAAAGGGGCCTTCCGCTCATAAGTTGGGGACCATTTTCCAAACTTTTGATCCTTTCTTTTGTATCAAGAGGTAGGATAGTTTTCCATACCCATTTTCCTTCCTCAAAAGATTTAGGCTTTACTTTCTTGTTGTAGGCTCTAGCTATTCTCATCTTCTGAACCCTTATATGATCCAAGGCCAGTAGCCTCATTTCATCAAGACTATCAAATTCGGCAAACATAGCCTCTTCCGAATTGTAGTCTCCTGGAGTCAAGTTATTTTGATAGGCTACTCTGAGAAACTTAACTGTGATCTCCATTGGAAGTACGGCATCGTGGCCATAGGTTAAGGTTCGGAAGCCTCACCCAAACCACCACTGTCTCAATAGAAGCTTCCTCAGGGTCGAAATTGGGTTGCCATTGCCTCACCGTAATGTACTGGTCAGCCACCATCCAAGGACCATCAAAGAGCACATGGTCATAATCTTCTTAACTTTCAAACTTAACCAAGAAAAAGTAATTGCCCAGGTCAGTAACCATAAACGGTGATTTCAGTTTCCAAAGTTGGCTTAGACGTCTCACCATGAAGTTGTAACCCAGTCTCTTACCCAAGCACTTGATAATAAATAAGTAATTTCCTCCAGGGCAGCCTCATCCTTCTTTTGTCTTGTCCTCCGCGGATACTCTAATAGTGGGGCAGTCCTCCTCTTCGTCGGAATCAAGTTCTTCCTCAGATGAGTACTCCTCCTCACACCAGTCCACCATAGTACTCTCCTCAACAGGGAGACCCACCACCTTCTCTTTATACGAGAACTTCCTGGTCTCCCCTCCTCGGCCCTCCACAAACACACCCCCAAAACAGAACCCGCATCCCCCTTCGCACCTTTTTGAGTTCTTTTGGCTGTAGCTCTTCGTCGTCCAGGTGCATTTTCTTTTACCCAGAACTTCTGTCCATGAATGATATATATGGCTTCAAAAGCCACTGTTGCCGTCAATTATGAGTTCGCTTATTGGTAAGGGGAAGTCATCTTTAAGGCAAGCTGCATTTAGGTCTCTGAAGTCGACACACACTCGTACTTGTCCGTTCTTCTTGCGTACTGGCACAATGTTGGAAATTAAATCCACTTGGGATATTTCCTTATGAAAGCGGCAGCTATGAATTTGTCCACCACTCCGTGGGTTAATTCCTATTCAATTTGCATCTCGAATTCAATGTCTTCAGTCAGCTCTTCCGTCTAGTCTATCAGTTTCATCTATATTATTTTTTTACATATAAAGTAAATAAATGACTTTAGAGATGATAGATGTGTGCGTCAATGAGTGCCCGGTTCACCAGCTTCTACCACTGCAGGTCTAGCGCCATAGTAAGGCTTTGATCCGAACCGCCTGAGGAAACCAAGCGAAAGAAGACAAGATCGAATCTCCAAGCACTGTCTCGTGCGCTATAAACTCGTTGAATGGACATAAAAGAGAGATTTGTAATAAGAATGTCGTCAAAGAAGATCGGTCTTATGTCGGTGCCTATTTCATTGATTCGATAGGCCTCTTTTATTATAAAATCTTTAATTCTTCCTCTCTTAGGAGTCGTTCCTGAATGACTGACTTTCTATCTTGCAAACGAGCTTTGAACCCACCTTTCGAAAAAAGGGGCAGCCTATCACGCTAAAAGATGAATTCGATAACATCCTCTTCCACTCTATCGTCTATTGGGCTTTCTTTCCTCGCTTAAGTGAAGTCCCTTCTTTCGTCATTGAAAAAGGAGAACTTGAAAGAAGGAGCTCGGGGGACGACCAGTGCCAACGAGCGGTTAACATCTTCTGTATCAAGAGGTAGGACTTCTAAACAGGAAGGTAAGCCGAGCCTGCAGTTGGAGTGTTAAAGGTAGCAGTCCCCGAGGTAAGACTTTCTAGATTACCATTCTCAGTCCCATTAGTCCCTGACTCTGTCAAGCCATCAGGATCAGACAAGGAAGAAGGAGGAAAGTAAGCTAGAGATAGCAGATTATCGGGCAGCGGCAGGATTAAATTCATTTTTAGTTTAAGTTATCGTTGCAGCCTTGGATCGAGTTGCAGTGCTAAGATAATATCCTGCTTTTTTCAAAGCAGCTATCTTTTCTCTGGCCTTAGTTATTATATATAATACGTTTTACACTCTTTAAGCTATTGATGTAGCCTCTTTTCGCTACCTACTAGATCTTCGAGTGGAAGATATTTAAGTTCCTATGGGATGAAGCTTTCCTAGCCTCAAGTATTCATCTCAGAGGTAATTTCAGAAAGTGATGTCAGATTAGCACGCTCTTGGGTTTAACTAACAAGGACTTTTCTTTCGCGGGCTACTAGCTGTAAGGCTCTGGTTTTTTTTCCCAGGTTATGCCATAATCCTATCGAACTATTGGATTTATCGATGGCTATATTCTTAACACACTTGCTGGTTACGGAATAGGGGATTAGCCCCCGACCTGTAGATGCTCCGTAGCAAGTCTGGTTCTGTCTCGGGTAGTTCGACTAGTAGTAGTAGTAGCGAGCCAGTATATACATTATTATATTTAATCAGGATAAAGACCCTTCGGAAAGGCTGAAAAGAGCCTTGTTGCTTGCTTGTCTAGCTCAGCCCCTACTGAGCTTTCCGGTAGGCATCAGTAAATTATATTATTATCAATTCCCTTCTTTAAAAACTTCTTACCCCTGAAAATGCAATTCCAACTCGGCCAGAGAATCAAAGGGCAGATGGTATGTCTTTCTATCCATCCTGATTGTTGGATTGAAAAATCCGAATGCGAGCAAGGTTCAAAACAATATAATCCGTCCTTCTATCAATCGAGAAAAAACATGTATCCAAAATCTTTCTTCATTACTACTACATAAAACACTACATTACATAAACAACCACATATGACTTTCCTAGAGAACTAGAGCTTTAAAAGCATTCTGTTATGCTAACTACATTAATTATTTATTTATTTTCTAAACATAAATAAGTAAAAGGATAGGCCTTAACAAGTAGAAAGAAGATAAAGGAACTACTTTATTTTCTAGTCTTCCCTGTCTGTCACCGAGTGTGACAGCCGGGACACAGCCTCCGAAATGAGTTCGAGCTGCTCCTTCCGCAGCACTTCCAGCCTTAGCTCCAAATTCCTTATGTTTGCTGCGGAAGTGCGAATGCGTTCGTCTGCCGCAGCTGAATCTACCGCTCGAATATTCCTTAAAAATTAATTGAGAGTTCTCCGGCGGTTTTGAATCGTCTCTTGTATTTGACGCATTTCCGCATCAATTGCGGAAAGCCTGTTGGAAGTTGCAACATCCATAGCTATGCTATTACGAAATTTCTTTGATTTAAATTTGATGAAGAAGAAACTTATTGAGCCTCCATTTATAGAGTGGTAGAGGAATCCCGCCATGCGTCACCGAATTTTATGGCAGGCACAATTCTGGCTAGTTCTCCGCACTACTTTTCTGCAGTTGAAGACTATCATGCCTGTTTAATGAAAACCTGGCTGGCTCTGGCTACCTTGCGGAGCACACAAATACACCCGAATCACATTGTAACAAACTTTGTACAACCAGCTTTTGTTTTTAGAAAAGATTCGATATTCGATGCCAATAGAGTCGTGACATCCATGTACTGAGTTGTCAAATGAGCCACGTTAAGAAAGCCAAAGCTTATACGAATTTGCCCACAGGGTGCCCCAATAGGGCCCGAATGAAAGACCCAAGCCTACATGAACCATCAAAGAAAGTCCTACCACACTAGATAGCTTAGAAATTTCCCATAGGAAAACCCTGTCTTATGTGCCTACCCCTACTCGAAAGGTGTGCTTGTTAGATTGCTTGGGGTTCTATGTTGGGTAAGGAAGGAAAGATTTCAAGTATGGGATGATCCCTTCTAATATTAATTTTAAACCTAATCTCCTGCCGTGATGTGAAAACTCCATCTCTTCCAATAGAAGGACTTTTCTAATTCATTCGCAAGCAGTTCTGTGTGCACCGCCTTATTCGTCTCCGCAAAATGTTGAACAATCATACCCATCCCTGCTTGCGGAGACCCTCCACAATATCTGTGGAAGGCGATGCTCTACTTAGAATTTGACTTAAGTTCAATAGCTCTGGCTTCAGACACCTGGACAGCTAACGGGGGCTCTCCTTGGCCTCGTTCCCCGGAAAAAAAACCGGAATGAATCCATTAGAGGAAGTACGCCTTTCAATAGAAAAAAATAACGAAATAGAAATCTCTTCAAATCACGATGGACTAGAATAAAAATACGATGAGGCAGATTCACAGCTAGCTCCTTCCTCTCGGGCTGACTCTCGGGTCAGGAGAAAAAATAAAATGGATTGCCCGCACAGACTCACACTCGGACTCATCTTTGAAAAGGAACTACGCCGGGGACTCTGACTTCGATGACTCGATGTCCTGGAATGACTGCGCTGATTGGTCACCTTTTTGCCTTCGAGGGCTACGATCGCCCACTTCCTTGACCAAAATGAAAGGCAGGAACTGACTCACTTTCTTTTCTTACACGGCTTGGAGCCGGTAGACAGCCCTTAAGAACAGCTTCCAGCAACAATCCACTGACTCAAAGGACGAACTCTTCAATGACCTTAAAGTAGACTAAGACGAAGTCCTTGACTTTGTTGGGTAACTTTCTTGGCTTTTTAGAAAAGGTCGAAGCAACATAGGGAAAAAAAAAAGAAGACGACTAAGAAAGAGCAAGAAGAAGAACTAAGGGAAGACACCCGAACTCGAATTTTAAATGGTGTGGAGTGATATCAAGAGAAATTCTCGCAGGATTTGCTGCGAGAATTTCCTGGGGCTCAACCATTCAAACCCCCGTCTTTCTTCAGAAGATTTCTACCTATCTCCTTTCTGACCATCCCCTGGAGACGTTGAAGGGGAAAGATCTATTCTCCATTAGCAGGGACATACGCGAGCAGCTCCAGGAAAGCGAACATAGCTATACAAATCAAATATTGTATAATGCTTTCCAAGTGCTGCTCGCGCAGTATCGGAAATAATTTCATGAAGTAAGTGGTCTCCCTACTGCACTGGCGACATAGCTAAAACCAGAGGCTGACCAAAGAGATACAGGAATGGGCATTTTAGAATAGCCCTTACTGTGGAGATAAGTAACTTAGTGCATGTAAGGCTTGGAAGAAAGAGTATTTTCAAGAGCCCACTACGCGCTAACTAGAAGAGAAGGAAAGGCATTGACGGTGGATTCTCTAGCGGCTCCCTCTGGGCATCCTACGTTGACGGTATTCTATCTTATTTTCACAGCTCTCGAAAGAGTGTTAAAGACGCACGCATAGAAAATGAAGTTCCTAAATCACTGAAAGCTGCTTTGGTAGTCACTAGCGCAGGAGTTTTGATGCTTTACAGCTTTCCGCCTATCCACTGCTGCTTGTGAGTAAGCAAATGACAACGAACTCTTAGCAAGATTAGGATTGAAGCCATAGAAGGAGCGGAAAGTTTATTAGTTCTTTCATACCTCTTATTCAAATTGCTGTGGTGGTGGCGAAGTCAGTCAGACTCTGTTGTGCTAGAATCAGCTGCGGGACTTGAAGTGAAGGATATGCCTTGACCAGGTCTGACTTTAGTTGCTATTGAGTGGTATCTAGTATTTTATTGTATTCTAATACTATATGTAAAAATATAAATCTCTATCTCCCGTCCTCTGTTTAGCAATCAGACTAAATTCCGTCCACCTCTTACGAGGGCATATTCCCAGCTCTGGTTCACCTGCTACATCAGTGATCTCAGACCGTCATTATACTATATTTTAAGCCCTATCAGAAGAAAGAGGAAAATTCAGTCACCTGTGCCTATTACCTATGATGTCTATGCATTCTATTCTAATTATTCTAATCTAGTGGTAGAGCTCTTGCCACCTCTTAGAGGCAGTAAACTAGCTTGATTCATTAGTTGCTAAAAGAGCTAGAACTTAGGGAAAAAGACTAGGTTCTGCACTTAGAGGAAGTGATTTCCGTAGCAGACCTCTTGCATGATTGTTTCAATCAATGATGTATTCAATCAAGAAAGAAAGGTCGTAATAAGATAAGGTTACATAATGGGTCTGTGAGGGAACATCAATAAAGAGGATCAGACCAAGTGCGAGATTGGATCAAAAATAGCGAAAGGATTATGGTCTATCTAGTACAGTACGATCGATCAAGTCATTCAGTTCTCTAAGCTAGGTCTTTAGAAAATTCGAATAGAGCGGGTAGTTGATAGTGCTCGCGAGAAAAGCTTTCCTCTTTCCTTTGTGCATCCTTCTTTTCCCATGTCTGAATGACAAGGATAAGAACTAGACTGCTTCACTCCTGGCTTTTCAACTAACTGGCCAGGAGAGTTTACTTATTACTTCCTTAGGACTGCAATAGGGCTTGCTTAGTCACCTCCTTAACTCATAGAATGCTTTCAAACTATCTTAACTGATCTGATTGTGACTTGCTTTCCAAAACCAAAACAGGATAACTCAAAGGCTTGATCACTGGATTACTTCATAGGTAAATACACTATTACTTACCTAAAATGGATGCACCCTATGGAAACCACCGGAAAAAGTCTTCCCTCCATCTACTCCTTCTTACCGGAACTCATCCACTCTCAAAGGTTTAGTATCCTTACTTGAATGCCTGTACTCCCTAAGTCAGGGATATAAAGAAGACGTTCCTCCTCATAACAGGAAGAAAGAAGAGGAACTCCTGATGCGATCACCTCTCTCTCAAAAGGCTATAACAGGCATTTAAACAAGAGATATCATAAATGATTGGTGCCCTTACAGGGGCTTTCAAAAGCTGTTTTCTATAGAAAAAGTTGGTAAATGAATGAATGCAATTCCCTTTAAGAGGAAAAGGAAGGAGGGGAAGCTGAAAGGACTCATCCATAACAGAAAGTAGTGAACGACCAAGCATAGTAAGTAAGAGGCACAGAAGCGATTGCTCGAGGAAGGAGTTCGAGTGCCTGACTTAGCGTAGCGGGACTTCCTCTTAAACTTACTAATATGAATATGGATTCCACAGAGAAAGCTGTCGATAGTTCGAATTCTGCTTCCATCTTTAGGCCCCAAAGACTATGGTTTTTCTCCCGAATTGGACCTATTAAATAAAGGGTTATGCTTCTGTTTTTTTACTAAATACGTCTCGAATTCTCAAATTAGGTAGATGACCGAGGCACTGAATCCAAGGTCTTCCCTTCTTCGAAAAAGCGCATTCGATCGAATTGACCGGATCACCCAATTCTCCGTCCGTAGTGGGTCAAATCTAAGCTTCTCCTCTTTAGATCAGAGAATGACTGGGGAATAGATGCTTTCTTTTCTTTAGTTTGTCTTATCCTGTCTCGGAACTGGTCGTAGCGGCAGCGTACTGAGCTTCGGAAGAAGAAGGGTCGTCGCTCGAACGAATTCGTTTGGTTCTCTTTTGCTTATAGAATCGGGATCTGATGCCCCAATTCAGTCAGTATAAATTCCTTTCCTTTTCTTTCCGTAAAGGTGGCCAAGGCCGAAGCTTCTTTTCTTGACCGGGAGTTGGCGCAAAAGCACTTTGTTCAACTTGACTGGTCACGCGACGGGTTTCCTTTTAAATCCGTATTCTAGGTTTCGCCTTCATTTCTCAATTGAGTCTATTCATTGATTGGCCGAGACAAAAGGAAGAACTCCTAAGTCAGTCATCAAAGGCAGAAGGATCAAATCGCCTTTATTTGCAAAAAGAATCCCTATTAGGAATTTCCTCGAAAGGCTAATCCTCGGCTTGGCTTTACGCCTCTGCCGCTCTGAAAAGAAAGAAAAGAATTACTAAAAACCAACAGTCCTTAAGCCTCTTAAGGAGAAGTAATTCCCTAACCGAAAGAAAAAAGAGGAACATCCCCCCGTGCATCAACCCCTAGAAAGGTTCCCCCTGGAAAAGGGCTAGGGATACCTTTTCCGGAAAATAAAAAGATAGTTATTTGCTTACACAAGCGATTCGAACAAACTACTGACTTTACTGTTTAGGAGTTGCATTGGAGGTAAGAAAGCCGACGCTTCTTATTATTTTATCTTTCGTTTCGCCTGGCCGCTGGCTCAGAGGGGCCCGTTCTCCGCTCCTAGATTTACTAGTTCATTCATAGCTCTTAGAGAGAAAGCTCTACCTCTAGCCCTTACCTTCTAGCTCTATGATTGAGATTAGCTAGCCTTAAGCTCTTCCCGCTTCATTTCTGTTAATCACCCCCGGTTCTTGTTGTCTTACATAGTTCTTAGGTTGTTCCTAACTCACCTCTCTTTGAACTACCCAACTCAGGTTTTCTTTCGCACTACGACGAGGGACTGACCGCTGACCCAACTCCGAGGTCTATCCGCTCCTGGGGCTGTCTGATCCCTAGTGTTAGCTCTTGCTCCTCCTAACCTAACCTTTTCTTGCGACTTTATTTCCCAGTTTCAAAAGCGGGTTTTGTTATAGAAAGGTGGTCATAGAATAGAATTCCTTGCCTAAGGGCAAATTACTGCTATGAAATGGGAACGATGATATATGCTTCTTCAAGTCTCATCGTCGGTTTTGGCACTGAGATGATATCTCGTTGTGGAAATCTCGTTGAAGTTGATCATTTCATCGAAAAGATTCTCAGTAAAAGCAGAGATTGTCTTGGTTTTCTTAGCCGAATCGATACACTAGACCCGAGCATCTTTCCTGAAACAGGGACATCAATGAATCCAAAGGGGAATCGTCGAAGCTATCATGTCCCTTTCTTACGTACTTCAGTTATTGAAAAATAGAACCAATCCATCGTGCTTAAGACATGAGAATTGGGGAGTGCGAGTCCTTACCAGAACTAGTGAAATGGGGCTAAAACCACCACTTCATTTAGGAAATAGGGCCCTCTGTAATAAGAATGTCAAGGAGATGATACGACTTCCATTGGAGACAAAATTTGAGACTGTGGAGACCGCCCTAAGCCCTTCCTTCTGGGGCTTTGTCAAAACTTCTAATGCGCCAATGGCACTTCGGGGTCAAATACATCAGGAATTCTATTTTATTATAGCATCCCCTGTGATTCTGGAAAGAGAGCTTTGGCTTTCTTCCCTCTTGAACAGAAAAGCAGACTCGAACTACTTGTCCTGCTAGATCGACTCGTGGAGTCCTAGTTCTTTGGCTTAGCACTTGTTGTGCATGTCTGGTTCTCTCTCCTTCCTTATGCAGAGGGGCTTGTTCCCTTCTATCCAACTCCATAGAGGGAGTCATGCCCGAGTCCTACTTAACTTTATGCATTCTGGTTCCTAGTTGTATCTGTCTCGTTCTTGTCTTCCTTCTGGGCAAAAGGACCGTTCTTTCTGAATCCCTGGATTCGGATTCGGAATCGGAAGAGGAATCGGAAGGAGTTTGTTAACGTTGTGAGGCAGGGAGTAGAATGGTAAATGTCCCTGTTTGAGGTCTTTTATCCGACTCCGGTCTAGCATAAAGGGTGGAATGAATCGGGTTTTCTCCCTTCACCTAGAGACTCCATTAAGAAGGTTCGAAAACAGGTCATAAGGAGGGTTCCATCTTAGGAACATTTCTGACTTTGAACGGGCTGCCTGCCTCATCTACGTCCCCGTTGGTGACAACGAGGATAGAAAGAAGATGGAAAAAGCATTCCATTTCCTAAGTTATTAATGAAACAATCCTATTTTTTTTTTATAAACGATGTCACTTTGAATCAATAGAGAACCTCTTTCGCCGAGTCCTAGGATGACGGAAAACATCGTTGAATCGAGCGCTACCGCTTCATTGATTTTTGTTGCGGAGACTATATCTTAAATCTTAAAAGTCTCTAGTGCCTCAGAGTCCGCCCGCTATCGCTTCATCTTTTGATGTAGCGTAAATGCCTGCTGTAGATGCTATCACTTATTCTGCCTCGGTCGGGTGCTGCCTTAGTTGATGTGAAAGAATCCCCCTTGCTTCCTACTCATTTACTATCGAAGAGTTGGACCCCTTGGTCTCAGTCTCCTATAGTATAGTAGGAGTACAGAGGAGCGAGTTTACGAGCTGGCAGACTCTAGTGAAGACTTGAAGATCCAGCCCGAAATGCCAATCTTTAGTTCTCGGGAAATAGAGCTAAAGCGTATTACGAAAAAGTAAAGAAGGGGACCGTCCCTCATTCATCTACTTAAAAAATTGACAGAACAAATCGGAAAAGGCAAGCTTACCGTATTCCTACTTTACTAGTAGTACTCTTCTAGTTTTGGAACATACCCTTTATATAACACAAGGTGGAATCAAAGTAAAGAAACTTTTAGCAAGGAGTGAAGTAAAGGCTAAGGTTGCCTTCCGCTGACTATGGAATCCCCAGAGACTATATCCATAAAGAAAACCCACCATTGAATCAACTGGTATGGAATCAGTATCTGATAACATTCCCTTTCACTTCTTCCGATTCCGATTCCGAATCGGATGATCTTTTTATATAAAGAAGTGAAAGACCCAGGTCAACAGATGGTATTAGTCCTTAGAAGAAAGCTTTAAAGGTTGTGCTAAAAAGTCCCGTCTGTATTGTCCTACGAGTAAGCTCTTTAAGGCCTTTGGGAAGAAAGCTAGAATGATTTTATCTTCTTTCATGTGAATCACATTAGCTTAGCATTAGCTAGAGTTTCTATAACCTCCAGGTCCCAGTGTGGTTAAGCTTATAGCTCTTGTCGCTAGCTCTTATGAAGCTGTGAATGGTCTCGTTATCTTATTATTTTAAGAGATAGGCTGCTTTCCTTGGCACGAACGGGGGAAGAAGAAGTTGTTCCAGCTACAGGTGTCTTGGATTCGGCTGGTGGTCTCGTAACTAAATAAGTAGCAGATCCCGTCTCCTTAAATTAAGGAATTTCTATAGATTCATCCCCGTCTTTTGTACCCAAGTCAGTAGACTCTCCTTTCTTGCTTTCCTTCACCGTCATTGACATTGAACTGATATTATGGCGAAGAAAAGAACCACGGTAACCGAAGGCTTACTTACTAATTGGGGGCAAGCTACGGATGAGCTAAGCTAATGGCTGCCCTTTTCTTGCTCCCTAGGAAAGAAGTAAAAGACTGCTAAAGGGAAGCGAAAGATTTTAAATTCAATGTTGTATGCACACGTGGCAGCATTAATAGTTAGAACTAATAGAAGCAATCCAAAAGGATTACCAACATGAGGCGACCGGAGGGAGGACAACACAACCGGAAAGCCTTTCAAAAGAAAATAGGGTTAGCTAGATAAGAGGAAGAGAATGACATCTGTGCTTACTTTTTACTTGCAGTTCCCCTCCTTGATTGACTATGTCCCGGAACCGGCGGATTGGTGGGAAAAAAAGAAGTAAAGGGATAAAAACCTTGCCTCATATGCGATTCCGCCTAAGACATTGAACTCTGGGGGAAGAGGACTTTTTCTTTCTTAAATCCCGTATCAGTTGGATTTTAAAAGGGGAGTCCAAGACTATTCATTTCAGTTATCCACCCTTAAAGGCGGAAGGCTTAATAGGATTTTAGCCCTTAAGGACTCTGTAGGAAATTGGATATTTAATCACACCAATATCCTTGGTTGGCGGCCACATCATGCGAGATTACCAGAACCTCTTTACTACTGACCATCATTCCTCATATTCTTTTTATATCCTTATCTGAGTGGCAAGATTACTTCTCAACAGGATATTAACGCGCTTTCTCAACCTATCTCAGAGGATTCCATTTATCCGTTCCGTAAGGTCTTTTTTAAGGCTCCAGGACCAGATAGGAAAGCATTGAGCTAGGATGACTTCACTACCTTAGTCTATTAACCCTCGGATCAATTCACTGGCTGGCTTGCTTACTTCTTAGAGTAAGGAATTTATAGCTTATTAGGTCAAGTGCCAATCCTGTCTTCTTTAGATCTTCTATCAGTCTAGCCCTTCTTCCACATGAGATCCTATTTTTCCTAACTCCATGTAGCACCACTATCCAATGAAAAAAAATCCTGCTATTTCACTCCACTTTTAACTTAAGGGGAGATGAACAATAAGGAATGTCTGTGGGTCCTTCTTCTTCCGAATCGAAGTGTAAAGTTCTCTAATAAATGTGCGATCAAAGAATTTTAAGTGGATTAGTGCATGAATTAAATTTTGGGAATGTTTAAGTGTTAAGGGCATCTTGCTATGGGCACATACATGCGAGTCCTCTTGCTCCAATACTTGACTTTCCTCCTACTGCTCATTATCTGGAGCTACTTCCTCCCGCATACTTATTTCCCCCGCAAGTCTTCAACCAACCAAGTCCTAGACTCAGTCTTTCAACGATCCATTTGAGTCACAACCCTCTTTCCTTCTTTATTCGAGAGTAATCTTGGCTTCTTCTTCTCGATGATGTCCCTGTGAGTGAAGTGAAGCAGTACTCCTCTTGCTTAGTTAATCCTTAAAGATAAATATATATAATGCTCTTTTTTTTCCTTTACTCTGCAGGAGATTTCGTGTGAGATATGACTTAAAAGAAAAAGCTGGAGATACTCCTCCCAAAGGGCACTAGGAGACTAGACATCTTACGTTAAGGGCACTGGATCTCGGGGCACTCAGACTAGTGATAACGGGAATCCTAGACCTGTAAGAGCTAGACTCGCACGAGGAAAATGCCAACTGTAACTCCGCATTAAAGCGGCTTTTCAGTTGGTTAATGGTGAGCTTCAGTCCTTTACAGAAGAGTAAGAGCGGAAAGGCCGGGTTACCCTTACTCTAACATGTCTAACCCTATTTGAAAAGAGTAAGGGGCATTTACCTATCAGTCCTAGTCCTAAGGCGCAATCGGAGCACTAAGCCCAATGCCGCCAAGCAACAAAAAGCCCTAGACTACAAAGAAATTGGGTTCCACTAAGCCCTTAAGCCAACATGAGGTGGAGCCTTAACCCGACACAGGGACCCTATTAGGTAGGATAGTGGGCTTATAACAAGACCCATCGGTGGATAAGATCACATCTTCATAACAAAAGGTGTACACGTTCGGCCTCACTCAAGGTAATGGGCCAAACCTAACGAGTCCAAAGAAATTTGATCTTATTGTATGACAAAACCACATATTGGCTATATTATTTTTTCAGTAATTTGATAATTTCCTCAAGCAATAGGGTTTGACCAGTCCCAGCGGAGCCTGTGATGAACACGGATTTGCCCTGAGGGATGGCAGACAAAAGATGCTTCTGCTCCTTTCCCCATTCTATTGGAGTGGAGTGAAGGTTAGCCCAATGTTAGCATTCAGATCTATTTTAAGCCCTGGCCCGGAAATGCCACCTTTTCCTGGCTTTCCAAACAAAGCCCATCGAAGTCCAGGATGGGCTTTCTAATTCATTTTATTCCCATTCCAGGACGGCCCAGGCCGCTATCCGAGTGCAATCGGCAAAAGCAAGTTTACCTTACTTATTTAAATAAAAAAATTCTTTCGTTCTGCTGTAAAAAGTAGGGTAAAGTGTCTGATCCTTTCAATCAAGCGATAGAGGCAGAGGCTTTACTTCAATCGCCTACGCTAGGACGGAGCTGCTGTCGAGTGACGATTGGCCGAGGGGAGTTCCATCATGTAGCTGGGTACAAAGAAGCCAGTGAAAGAGGAGTAGTCAGGGTACGACGAAGCACGCCTGGTACGTAAGCGAATACGGATCACGTGGGTTTGTACTGATCCGCTTTCGAGCTGTCGAGTGAAGATTGCTCCATCTATTAAGAAAGGACGCGGAGGGCCTTTGGGAGTACTCTCTTCTCTGATGTGCGTTCTATTATTGCCTCCTATTCCTGAGGGAGTGATCGGGATTAAGCCGCGTGGCGATACCCGCGAAAAAGAAAGGACTATTCGCTCTTTATCCTTGGGGTGGGCCTTTCGTACTCAAATCCGTACGGGGATAATTATTCAGCGCACTAAAATCTAGTGGATGTGGTTCAATATTTATTTATGAAAAGCCAGGGTTAAAATGATCCTTGTTAGGGAACCAAGACAATAATTATGACTAATAATAATAAAGGGTTAAGGGCCTCTAACGCCTATAAATATAAGCTTCTTTCAGTCTCTATTTGGCAAAGCAAAGGGAGACGGGGACTTTAAAGTCGGCAAGAAAGAGCTTTAGCCATGGATATCGTTGGAAGACTTGCTGAAATTCAAGAAGAAATACAAACAGCGGAAACCGAAAAGCTCCAACAGGAGAATTCGCTCGGTCTGTTATGGGAGCATCCGCCAGCTCTCGATCCTGAGGTCGTAGGAAGAGTGATGCAAAGGATACGGGACCGCATCCGAGCTCTTGAAGACCGGAAAGAGGCCCTCCTTCAAGAACAGCAATCTCTCCTTATCCGAATGGAGGGGGCCATAAGCAACCGCAGGGGAAATGGAAACAACGGGGGGAACTAGAATAGAAGAGTCCGTCGACTCTTTCTAGAAGATTTAAATAAGTAGTCCGTCGACGCAAAGTAGTGTGTTTTAATGCATGGCTTTATTTGTTATCTTTCATGTTGTTATATTTCTTTTGTTCACTTAATATGTTATTAGTTGACTTTGTAATGTTGTGTTTAGTTGTGTGGCTGGTCTATGTGTGTGTAAGCTTCCCATTGGATGTACTCCCATGTAAAAAAATGCTTGTAGTGCTGTGGAATGAATAAAATCCGCTTTGTTCTAGTTCATTCTCTTTCCCTGTTTTGTGTAGAAAAATTTCTGATTTGAATTCTTTTAAAAATATAGTTTTTTTATTGTTAATTTCTAATATATACAAGCGAAAACTACAGCCAACAGGGTGGTGTGTTTACAGTAAAAAATAAATCCTCTAATAGCAGAAAGCCCTTAGCGGCCTCGCTATCCTATCTTTAAAACCGCCACTACGGTGTCGTTAAAGCGCAGTAACGTTAACAGGATACCCGAGACTAACCTAACGATTTCAAGTAGCCGTAGAATAGAACGAAGATCGTAGAATGCTGTGGGCTACGCTTGCTCGAACATCCAACTCAAAACCCGCCCGCTTGCTTGCGAACAAGAACTACCAGTTTACAGACCAGTTTCGGCTAAAGCCCCCTATCTTGAATTCCAGTTCCCTACTGAACAACAAAAGAAACTACTGCTACTTTTGAGATAAATCATTTTTACTAGGAATTTTAGTGTAATACATAGGCTTAGCGTTCCTTTTCCTTACCGAGTTCCTACCTTTTTGATTTCGCAGAAGAGTTATATGTTATCTTTGATTGTTCTCTTCTGTAGTAACTACCATGGTGGGATAGAGGATGTGATTATTATACTATGACTACAGCCATGAGAGGTCTCAGGACGGCTCTTACCTTCTGACATACTGCTGTAGAACGGCATTTTATGGGAATTTTCAAGCATTATCAGTAGCTGTTTGCTGTTGTGACTTGCACCAGCCCGTTGTCTTTGTATTGCTTGTGCCACTACCCAGTATAAAGTACATCTTGCATCCCCTCTAGCATAGTTGCTAGAGAACGACTATCATTACTCTAAAGGGTAAGAAAAGAAATGTTAGGTCTACTTTTTCGCCCTTTTGCTGGATTGTTGGTCTGCAGCCCCGCCCTATAGAATGAATAAAATAAGGAGAGGCCTATTGATGACCGAGCCACTCTTATACTACTCCTTACCTCACCCCCTTCTCACTTAAAGGGCGAAGTCGCTGAAGCGAGTCTAAAGGCCAAAGAGTGATCTTTGAACGTTACTACGCATCCTTATTTATGAATAGGTATTGTGTAAGGTAGGTTTGTTTGGGTATAGCAGGACTTGAACCTGCGACCATTAGGTTAAAAGCCCAATGCTCTACCAACTGAGCTATACACCCCAAAAAAGATATAAATATAGTTGTATATAAAGATTGGTGCAGAAAAGAGGGCGGCCCCTCTTCTCCTCATCCTATTAAAGGGGCGCAGCTCTGTATGAGGCTCGTACTGCGGAGCAAGCGAAGAATAGAATAAGGGCGCGCGTTAGCACTCCTGCAAGAAAACGGCCTTACTCAAGAAGCGCACCTTTCTTAGTTTAGTAAGGTTGCTTCTTTCCACTCATTGAAGATTCTATCTACAAAAGAAGGTCAACGGGGGATACTCAAGTTGCTCTCCTTTGGATAGACAATGAAGGCACCATCTACGAGAAGGTGAGGTCGTCTTTCCGTCCGCCATACGGTTCGCCTGAAAGCCTTAATTAAAGACGGAGAAAGGGAGGAGCTGTTATCTATGTAATTACGGTCTTTGTTGGCCGTTGTTCCGGTCGAGCACTCTATTTTCTTTGCTTTGTCCAATAGAGTATTACCAAACAAGACTGACTTCTGACCAACCCGCGAAGGGTTGTGAAGTTGGACCAGGTACGAATAATGAATATATATCTGTGTACGGTACGGAAGTTGCTGGCCGGCGGCCGCTCAACTGTTCGAGCGCAAGCGATCGGCACATAGGGGGTGGTTGGTTCCGATTCGACAAGGGTAGAATGCCTGGTCGAAGGTCCAGTACAGTAGGTAGCAGGCGTCTTCGTTTTGGCTCCCGAGCGAGAACGATAAATAGGCGCTGCACCATTCTATTCTTGCTGCTATGTACGTGAACCTTGACTTGAGAGATTCATCCAATGGAACCCACACTCAAAGGAGGACCACAAGCAACCGCAGGGGCTCGACGAAAGAGAAAAGATCAGCATTAAGAAACTTTTTGTATTGGGGTTAGCAGTGAAAGAAAGAGCCCGGCATTCATTCATTTCTTCATTCATATTCATAGCTTAGTCTACTAAAATTAAAGAGGGACCAGCCTCTTCCGATTCCGAATCGTGGTAATTATCGGACATCTCTGATCGTTCACCTCTAATGTGACACGTTCCCTCCCAGTTATATGATCAACGGGACTTGTTAAGGAAGGGCGGCTAGAGAGCGGGGCTATTCTTCTTCCGATTCCGATTCCGAATCCGGGGAGGTAAAGTCGTCCCCTCTACTGATCGAACCCTCAGTTCGGGGGTCTTCGTCAACATGTTATGAGGCTCCAGTCTTCGGCGGGTCACCATTACTTGACTTAGAAAGGCGAACATCTAGGCAAGGGAAAGCGCAGTGCGCCTGGTGCAAATGGCTTGCTTTCTTTTTTCATGATATACCAATCAGAATGGAGGACCCTACCTACGTACATGATTGATAGAAGAACTACGTAGGTGGGCAATGATCTGTCTAGGGCAAATGCGGGAGAGGCATGAGTGCAGTTCGATCTTGTGGTGTATTCGTTTGTAGTGAGTAGGGCCTCTTTCTCGTTGATCAGTTCGCCTCCGCTCTATTGAAAGGTCTCCATTCCTACCCTACGGCGGTTTTGTCAACGCCTTTAGTCGATCTGGTCTCGGGCCGGATTGACTAACCTAAGCCTTAAGGGGGCCTTGCCATAGTTGGGTGCTCTGCTCTTTAGTGTGATTGACGAAGGCTAGGCTAGTAATACCCAAAATAAGAAATGAAAAGAGATCGGGGTCGATAGTTGGCAAGGAACTTGATCCCCCCAAAACAAAAAAGGGGCAGCAGCGGTCGAACTCTAATTCTGGAAATCAAATAAGTCGGGGCCCTTTGACCTTACCAAGTCTACCGGATATAAATTTGCAGATAAGGTAAAAATAGATACGGGAAAGGCTATATCCCTAAGTGGAATCGGTGGAATGCCCTGCTTCCGGCTAAGTATACAGAGTTGGGTCTACCGTTCGTTCAACCGTTACCTCTCTTCTATTCCGATCTTTCTTTTCTCCTTTGCTTCCTTGTCTCGTCTATCCTTCTCTGCCTTCAGCCTGTCTTAGAGCCCTGCTTCTCCCGTCCTTCCTTTGGCTTGCCCTGAGGATTTACTCTCCAAAGTAGATTTGATCACTGCGAGTTCGGTTCAAGTCTTCATCGATCGGGTGGATCTTTGAGGGGGGATGGAAAGGTGGGTGAGTCATGGATGTGGACAGAGATAAATCCAGCGGTAGTCTTCCGGTGGAATAGATTTCTAGTAAGTGTCTTCTTTCCTTCTCTTCTAGTAAAGGCGCGCCGTCAGGTCTCTCTTCTTGGGATATCTTTATCACCAGAAAGGATAGAGATCTTAAGTAGACATGCTTTAGGCATCGATCATCTTCCTAACTACATGGTACTCCCCCTCCCATTCATTATTACTGGAACCGACGAAAGGGGGTGGAATAAAATGAGGAAGTGTCCCTTAGAGAAAGAGAGTCCGCTCTCTCATTGTCTGATTGCATCGTAGAGCGTCTGCACCAATTGCTTGGTTGCAGTAGCAGCCCCCTTTCTCCTTCTTTCATATGATAAATTATAAAGATTTAAAATATAGTCTAAGAGCGACTTCAATCTTTATTCGCTAAAAAAGAGAAGCTGGGTTCCGATAAAAGTTGTTTATCTGGATTGGGTTAGTGTGAAGTCTACCTATGCTTCTTTCGATCTGCTTTATAGTTATGAATAAGACTCGTCTTCAAGTTAAAGTTAATATCATAGATAAAGATCAGAAGTGAAGAAAGACAGAACGAATCTCTTATCGCCATCTTTATCTTTCTAGCAGTGCTCTCAACTCTGATCTTATTATAATAAATATCGTCTGCTCTTTGCAATCATAGCCACTTCTACATTAAACTGTGCTGCAACCTTAATCCTAAGAAGACGGGGTAGGACTGGAGTCTGAGGGATCTCTTTCGAATGTGGTGTGCCCTTGGCCGGGGCAAAAAGACCAAAATGATTATCGAAAGTGGTAGCTCTACGAAGGTTCCATCTACAGAGCAGGTGGAGAAGGTCGGCGGGCCTCATCCAAGTCCCTATCGGAGGTTCCATAAGGTACATTCACTTTGTTGGGAGGTGTAGACGCTTAAGCTGGGAACGGCAGTAAGGTCCCTATTGATATTTTTTGCTTTTATTTGATTGAAGGCTGTGGCAATAGGAGGTTGGAGCGATGCATGATGGCCGGGAAAAGACGTAGCGCTTTAGATAAATCGGGATTACACCCTTTTTTTTTATATCCCTGTCACAGAGTTTGGCCAGAAAAAAGGTCACGCTTTGGCCTATCATGAGATAATTAGTTTATGCACGTGGTGGAGCGGGCAGTCTTATGCTTTGCGCTTGCCCTTTTGATGAGGGATATTAATATATTCTTGCCGTCGCCTAAGGGGACTCCTTTTATGGGGAATACACATAGAAGCAATGGCCCCATCAATTACTCCTCATCGCCTGTGGAACCCTCTTCTAGATCATACTTATTTCCTCTAATTTTAGTCAAGTTCTATTAGACTACGCTTGACCGGGACATAGAGGAGAGCTAGTATGGACAAAAGTGGAGGTTCTTTCTCAGGGCGTAAGGAATAGCACGCAAAAGACAGCCTGGAAAGATAAAGACAGGATTTCATAATCTAATTTAAAGCGGTGGATGAGCGGTAATGGCTGGGGAAGGGGGCAAGTACATCCTTTTGTTCTCAGTTCGTGGGAATTGCTTCCATCACTAACCAGTTCAGCTCGGCTAGTGGGCTTTTGTCTTCGAACCTCGAATCCGGACCTGTTCGACAAGACCAGATCCATCAACAAACCTAGGTCCAAATCCGATTTGCTTGTACGAGCTAGCCATCAACAGACGGACATCCTTTTACCGCAGTCTTCCCCTATTCCAGAATAACTGCTGGGCATAGCCTTTTCTCCGTTAGGCTCCTGTAAGGGCGGGTATGAGAAGGGTCCCCCTCTCCCTTGTCAAAGCTTAGTTATCCGTGAATGAGAACTCGTTTTGCTTGTTGGCTGGTAGCTCCATGGTTGGTTAGCTCGAAAGCTAGTTTTTACTCTTTGATCGTCGAGAAAGAAAGGTGTGATTACCTGAGGTTGACCTTCTTTCTGCCTTAGAAGAGGTATAGTTTAGGTCATGCGCGAATGCAGAAAGGGGACAAGGAGAAGCGCTAGTCCACTAACAACTGAACCCCTCAAGCGAACGAGTAGTGAAGCCTTACGGTGAAAGATAGCCCTAAAGTGAGGGCCCCGGAGATAGGATTTCTCAACTGTCGATCGACGTGACAATCATGCCTGCTTGACAAAACCTTTTCAGTCCCCCAATAAACGAAAAAGGATTGCTGGTACAGAATCCGTTGCTCAAGGTCGATTGCCACGTGAAAGCTATAGAAAGACCATATTGTCCTTGAACTGCGCTAATGATAGGAAAGGCCTTTCATGCTAAAAAGTATACTATAGCTTTCAGGGCGAGCAGAGATTCGCTAAAGCGGAAAGAAGAAAGCACCTATCTCCTCTCGTGGATTTCCTGGTGAAAGAAGTAGTAGGATATAGAACATCGAGATTCCTGGATGCATATTCTTATAGGATTCTGATTCAACCAAGAAGACAGCACTCCCATTGACCAGAAGATCAACCAACAACCTCATTTTACAGTCCCATCCCGCCCATCGAAAGCTAGAGAGAAGGAAGCCTTTCTTCTTTCTTCAAAGTAGTTGCTTCCGCTAACGAAGATTGACTCCATTCCCGGTGTCCTCAGAATTGAACGAGCCGAGTGCACATCGAATCCAAGACGAAATTCCCAAGGAAGAGCCCAAGATTCTGTTAGTTTAGAAAAGACAGGGAAACCGTAGCCGCTACGGAAATGGAGACGACCTATTACCTCTGCTGCTTACCCAATGGACCACTTAGAATAGACCGCTTCGAAGCAATAAGCCTTCTTATCATGCCATTTCTCGCCCAGATGTTAAACTTGTATTCGCCTCAATCCACTATCACACTGGAGCTAAAGATTGGCTGGCACTCCTACTTACTCAAAAGTAAAAGAGATTTCAGCCCCCATAACTTGGCTTCTTTACATAATTTGTTCACTTTTCACTGAAAGGATTTTATTTACATTCTAGTTTCAGTGAGGGTTCCTTGCCGCTTTACTATCAATTGAGTAAAAAGCTCGATCTTCATACTAGGATAGATTAACCTAAATGCCTCCTTCCCTTTGAAGACTGTTAAATACAGGATAAGACTTTTTTTTTTCAAACTGATACCGGTACAACTTATCTTTCGACTTTCCTGTCTTACCTTTTCCAATAAGTTCCATTCCAATGTATGCAATCTAGAACATCGTACAGGATCATCGCATAGACGGTAACGACTACTTTGGTTGCTTTTTCCTTAACTGAATAAGTGTAACTGCTATTGCTCTATGTAGGAAACTACTAGAGTGGAGTGCCCTGCCCACCTGAAAGATCTCCAAAAAAAAGGGCTTGGACATAATTTTGATCTTGTCCTTGTCTTGTATCTGGTACACTTAAAACTAAGCCAATCCCTTTTGTTTGAATAGGTAAGTCAATCTTCGCCGAAGCTAACATCATCTTTATCACGAGCTGGGATCGAAGGGAATAAAATAAAGCTAGCTCGGCTAAGACAGAGAGGAGGTAACCAGCTTTTGAAGCACCGAATAGGGAGAGGGTACTTGGGTACTAAAGAGATTTCACCTTTAGCAGAGATCAGGGATTCCCAATAAGCGGATAGTTAAGTTCGAAGGGAAAGAAGGAACTCATAGTTAGGCGAGGTTACCAGATGCTAACTAAACTTAAGACTAAGCAGCAGACGCAAAGTCAGCACTCGATCGACCTGATTCTGTTGAGGTAGCATATCCCAGATTGAAGGAATAGGAAATTGGGTACTCGACAGAAGGTCGGGAAGAGTTTCCACCTCAACCGAAACATAATAAGGATAAAGATCAGATCAAGAGAAGGAGCGAACTACTCGATCGACTAAGGCCGAAGAGATAGGAAGGTTTGGCACTTACTTAGCCCTTGGTTTGGTTAGTTTTTTTTAGGGGGGAACTCTCAATACTCAGCAGCAGAGAAAGAGACGAGACGAGAACAACCGATTCTCCAGTAAAGAATTGTCACCTTCTTTCTACTAATAGAATAGTAGAGGATCGGAGTGAAGCTCCAGGAGAGGAAAGCCTAAGAGCTGGGGTTGGGGCTTTTTTTGAGGTATCTAGTTCAGTAGCGGAGGAAGAAGTGACATAAGTTAGGGTTGTTTCCACACCTGAACCTGAGGACTAATCCGAAGAAGCTGATACAAGGTTCGCAGATGCTGACACAGAAAGTATGGAGTTTCCAACTGATTGACCAACTAGGTTAGGAGTTGAACCAGTAGCAGGAGTTGAGCCAGGGGTTTCCAACAGGGAATCAACCGAAACTTCAAGATCAGTCGCAGGGGATTCCTCTAAAAAGGGATTCGATTCCAATACAATATAAGAAGAGTTCCTTACGAGCCCAGAGGAGTTTACCAGCTCAACAGACCTATCAAAAGAGTAAGAGGACTTTGCAGACTAACTATTCCCGAAGATGCTTGATCGGGGGAACTAGCGAGACCAGGCTAACTAAGCCAACAAGGAGAGGTCATGTAATACGCTCGACCGAACCTCCAGGGAGAGGAAAGACACCCTTCGCCTAACTTCCATCCCTAATTTTGTTTGAGCTGCTTGCGAACTCAGAAGATTGGCATGTGTATGGCTGCGAGAGCGGGGGAGAGAAGAAGATTTAGACTTAGACGACAACGCCTAAAGCCGAGTTAGCCCAACCGTCAGCAACCCTAGTAGTCAAGTTGCAAGCGGGGGTGAGATCAGGAAAGATAAACAAAGCATAAGACTTAATATGAAAGAAAGTCTCTCACTACTTAACTTAAGACTGAACTTTCAGTATAGTAGGCAGATTTTACTATTTAAGTCTATGCTATGATATTACCACGAGAGGATCTTCATCTCAAGCCTAAACTAAATTGAAGTAGATTCGTAGCAAGTCGGCAAATGTCCTTAGTGACCTTCGGGAAGGTATTAA